TTCGGTCTCAAGTTTATCTTGCACTGACAGACAATCAGTAATATTTATAGTCTACACATACGCCAAAGGACTGTACTCTTCACAACGTCAAACTACACATATATACTAAGTGACATATAAATCCGAATTTTAATAAAATTTTGTATAAGTACTTACTGAAGCATAATAAGTAAATGATAAAAATTTCAAAATGATTGCACTGCTTTAAAGCCCTTTGACCTTTAATAATGTGTGGATGCACCCTGATGTGCTACGCATTCTCCAACGCGCCTAGGCATGCTTCTGATCAGGTGGTCAATGTCCTCCTGTGGTATCTCATTCCAGGCAACCACCAACTCCTCTCGAAGTGCTTCTAGAGTCTGAGGAGGACGTTGCAAATTGAGCAATCTCCTACCCATCATATCCTACACGTGCTCGATTGGGGATAAGTCGGGAGATCTTGGTGGCCATGGTAACATTGTGACATCATTATGTTGAAAGAAGTCTATTGTGACTCTTGCAATATGTGGTCGGGCATTATCTTGTTGGAAAGTTGGATCTGCCAGGGTGTCAAGATAGGGTAAAAGATGGGGTTGTAGAACTTTGTGGATATAACGCTGCGCGTTCATGTTACCTCTGATGAAGATTAAAGGTGACCTGGAACCATAAGCTATAGCACCCCAAACCACAACTCCAACAGTGTGATGAACATGTCTTTCAACAAAAAACTGTGGATTCCTCCTTTCACCACGTCGCCTTCTAACCCTGGCATGACCATCGTGCATGCCTAAACAAAATCGTCGGTAAACACTTCGCATGCCAATTGGTCTTTCGTGTTCTGCAAACCATTCATTTGCAATGGACCTGGTAGTGGAGAAACGGTCCCTTAAGGCCAATAATCCTAGGTGGCAATCTTCACGGTCTGTTGTTCTACGGCGGCGTCCAGTGTCACTTGCTCTTTGCGTACGGCCTTCTCGAAGCCATGCCTGACAACACCTAACCACAGTGTCTACACTTCTTTGCACCCTAACTGCAATTGCCCGAAAAGAAAGTCCAGCTTTCCGAAGTCCCACTATACGGCCCCTATCAAACTCACTAAGTTGACGAAGTCGTACAGGTCTCCGTACTCCAGGCATCGTAACCGATCGTAAAGGATGTCAAGAACCAAAATCCGCCAACATTGATTCTTTACTGCGGCTGAAATATTCATTTTTAGAGCGTTAGTGAATTAAAAAAAAAGCAGTATAAAAACCGGAATGTCCAACTGATAAGGCTGAAAATTTTTTCACATGTTATTTACAGTAAGATAAATACATTCACCAACTTTTATTAAAATAAAACCATTTAAACTGGGTGTTCGGATTTATATGTCACTTAGTATATGTTGCCGAATTTTATGATTCTTAAATGTACCTCCGATTTCGCGTAACCTTTAATTTATGTTACTCCGTGTATGACGGTTCTCTGAATATTTCGTCAAGTAGATTGACTCAGTACTTATTAGACACGGACTGGCAAAGCGACATAAAAGAGAAACACGGACTTTTGTGATGCGGATATCTTTGAGCAACAGAAAACCGAAGTTCGAATGTGTTTAATACTTTCATCGTTTAGGTAGTGGTAGCTTCTGAAAATTGATTCAAAGACGGCGGAACAACGAAGGCGTACAAGGTATAGAGTGAATCTACTTGATGCTATTTTTTTCTTAAGCCGTCAGTGTAGCAGACACGTTTTAACCGATAAATCGATGGATTTATTGGCAGCGTTTACGAGTTGCTTTTTGCCTCAATTCATAAAACTTTCTTGTCCGCTCATCATTTAAATATGATACTTTTACTTCCTTAAATGATGAGCTGATGATGTAAGAAGTAAATCCAATCAAAAACGATATCGTCTCATTTGGAAAGTTGGAAAAAGTAGAGGGGAAGCTATCAATAGAATAGTTAAACTTGTAATCTATATAAAATTATTATTTTAAAATAAATCTATTGTAATTTATTAAAAAGAATTTCACAAAATTATAGTGTTTGTATTGAGTCGTTTAAAAAGCGTTTAAAACTGCTTAGTATCTGCTGAACTTGTACAGAATTAGTCATATTTGCATGATCAAACTAACTTACCTGTAGGTGATGTTTGATGCTAATTATGTGAGGGTCTTGTCGAAGTAAATTCTACTCGTAGTACCCTCGTATCTCACCAAACCGACGAGTTCAAAGCGCGCACGTGGCGAAGAAAAGCGGCTCGTCGCGCCCCCTACCTTCCTCCTCTCTGGCCACCTACAAGCTGTCATTTTCTTCAAAGCCAAGTTGTTGTAACGATTAGGTCATACATAGGGAGGGAGGGAGCTATTTACTTCGATGAGACACATACGAGCCCCTTCCAACTTCAATTGGCCCACTTCAAGATGTGTACCAAAATACGCCTTTATAAAAACATGACGAAACTATTTACTTCTAAAACCATTTATTTTCTTAAAAACATTTTAGATACACTCTAGTCGTAAAAAAATACATATTTGAAATCACTTAGACCTATAACTAATAGAACATCTGAACAAATAAACAATGTGCGAATAAATGCGCGAAGTTAACAAAGCGACAATTGAAAGATTACCATTGTGTAGCATCACCTTTATTTTTTATTACGGTTGAAATTCTTTGGGGCATAGTGTTAACCAAGTTTTGTCAAAAATTTGGTGTAAAACAATCCCATATTTCTTGAAGCTTTTGTCTAAGTTCGGTGATTGTACGAGCAGGATGTTGTCGTAGAATCTTTTTCATCTCGTTCCACAAAGTTTCAATAGGTGACAGATCTGGACTGCTAGAAACCCATTTCAAAAGTGGTACATTATTTTCTTCCATCCATTTTATAGCCTTTTTTGAGGAATGGCACGCTGCACCATCTTGCTGAAACACAAAATCTTGGCCGCATGTCAAACATTCTTCCATCACTGGTAAAAGCGATTCTTATAAAATTGCAACATGTGTTATTTTTATGCTGCAAATTTGATTAGGGAGTGATCAAGTTGGTGCTTTCTACTATATATTATCAAAATATTCATTGTTATATTTTAAACCTATATCACACTGCTACATTTTTATTATTTGTGTTTGATAAGAAAAAAACTAAGACTTCAATAGTTGGGCCAACTGAAGTGGGAAGGAGCTCGTAATTAGAATAGAAGATCAATTACAGGTACGTTCGGGAGGGGGGGAGCCGTTTTCCTTCGCTGCGAGCGCGCTTTGAACTCGTGGGTTTGGTGAGATACGGGGGTACTTCGAGTAGTATTTACGAGATGAGACCGGAACATAGTTGCTGATATTGAACTTGATTTGTCTCTCAAGTCCCCCAAGTTACTATTCATTGGATTAGAATTCTATACTAAGATGAGCAACAAAAAGAAAACAGAATTTTCCGAATATATGCGTATATTGACCTTTTCTATCAGTGTTGTTATTGTTACTATCATCTGCCCCTGTTTTGTACTAAAAAGCTTGTCCTATTCTTTTCTGCTAAACTAGCATCACTTGTAGCAAATGTATGTGTTTTCTAAATTATTTGAAGCAATTGTCTACCAAAGACTAAACAATTTTATCAACGAACAGTCAATTTTGTCACCAAACCAACACGGCTTTAGGCCTAGATTATTCACAGATACAGCTGCCTTCACACTTTTAAGTTATATCTATGAGTCTGTAGATAGTGGGCGATATACCCTGGCTCTCTTCTTTGACCTAAGTCGAGCCTTTGATTGTATTGATCATACCCTTCTCGTTGAAAAGCTCAGACATACGGGACTCAGGTCACCGGCAGATGCATGAATAAAATCTTTTGTATCGAACAGAAACATAAAAGTAAGAGTGAGTGATACCACTTCAGACACATTTGAAATAAACTTGGGGGTCCCTCAGGGATGTATATTATCACCTCTCTTGTTTCTGTTGTTTATAAATGATATGAGTGGAAGCTTGGTTGGTGAGGATGTCACAGTAGTACAGTACGCAGATGACACAACTATCACGATAAACAGTAGTACCATAGAGAAGGTGGAAATACACAAATTTCTGGGTCTCTACATAGACGAAACACTTTCCTGAGACGCACACATAGAGTATGTGGCTGGTAAGCTTAACTTAGCATACTTTGCATTAAGAAAGCTATGCGGTCTAGCTACTCGTAGGTGTCTCCTTAACACTTATTTTGCAATGGCGTACTGTCAAATGAAGTTTTTGGTTATATATAGGGGCATTTCTTGTGGCATACAGAGAATATTCATTCTACAAAAGAGGCTGATTAGATTAGTATTTGGTCTCAAAGCACTGGACAGCTGTACACCAGTATTTAAAGATAATAAAATTTAACGTTACCGTCATTATTGATATATGCTTATTTGTTAATGAACACACAGATTTATTCCCACAGCGCAGTGAAATACACGCCTACAATACTAGATATGATATCCATATTCATATTAAAAGTTTTAACCTTAGTGCTTATAAGAAGAGTTCGATGTATTTATGTGCCTTTGTGCCTTTTGATATTCAGCAGATTAACAGCTTATCTTTGTTCAATTTCTGAACCTTTTACTAAATAAGGCGTTTTATAATACAAATTAATGAATTTTTGTGCGAGTAACACGTTATATTTATATGTGTTTCTGTATCCCAATTCTTTCATGTCATATATTAGTTATCCACATCTTTTCTTTTTATTTTGACGTTTTGTATCCTATTTACAGGCTCACACAAATAAAGCATTATTCTGTTCTATTCTATCTTGAATAACAAGACAAGTACTACAGCTTATGCTTTAATGGAACATAATCAGTCAACTTACGAATATGGTCCTGTAACTTGTAAAGTATAGAGTAGTACTAGAATATTGCGCTTGAAACTTACACGGAACACGGTATCTTGTATAGGTACAAGTTGTAAGTGTAATTATTACACAATTCTTATGAAATAGGACCCAGAAGCTATACGAATACAATTTTAGCAGATCAGAAAGCGATCAATTTGAAATAGTAGCGCTGTTCCTAGTAACAGTACTTTCGTTTTGTTGCAGGGCAAGCAGAGTTAACACGGGCACCTCCTGCCTTAGAAGCTTTGGATGAGCGTCATGATGCTGAGATATACAGGGCGATACTTACTTCTATGAAGGACTGGGAACGTAAGAAGCAACAGAAACAGATAACTAACAGGTGATTTATATTACATCACATTACATCTCTATTAAAATTTAAAGAAATAAAATAATGGTCATTCAGCTTTGTTCTCAAATCAGTATGCGTGGCTCTATGTTATCTGACATCAGACCGCCCGTTGTGTATACTAAGTGACATATAAATCCGAACACCCAGTTTAAATGGTTTTATTTTAATAAAAGTTGGTGAATGTATTTATCTTACTGTCAATAACAAGTGAAAAAATTTTCAGCCTTATCAGTTGGACATTCCGGTTTTTATACTGCTTTTTTTTAATTCACTAACGCTCTAAAAATAAATATTTCAGCCGCAGTAAAGAATCAACGTTGGCGGATTTTGGTTCTTGACATCCTTTACGATCGGTTACGATGCCTAGAGTACGGAGACCTGTACGATTTCGTCAACTTAGTGAGTTTGATAGGGGCCGTATAGTGGGACTTCGGGAAGCTGGACTTTCTTTTCGGGCAATTGCAGTTAGAGTACAAAGAAGTGTAGACACTGTGGTTAGGTGTTGTCAGGCATGGCTTCGAGAAGGCCGTACGCAAAGAGCAAGGGGTACTGGACGCCGCCGTAGAACAACAGATCGTGAAGATCGTCGCCTAAGATTATTGGCCTTAAGGGACCGTTTCCCCACTACCAGGTCCATTGCAAATGAATGGTTTGCAGAACACGGAAGACCTATTGGCATGCGAATTGTTTACCGACGAATGAGAAGTTTTGGCTTGTTTTCATACCGGCCACACTGGGTCCTCCCTTTAACTCGAGGACACCAACGTAATCGCCTTGAGTGGTGCAGACAAGGGTTACTCTCGGATCAGGAATGGAACAGAATTGTCTTTAGTGACGAGTCTCGATTTTGTTTAGGCATGCACGATGGTCGTGCCAGGGTTAGAAGGCCACGTGGTGAAAGGAGGAATCCACAGTTTTTTGTTGAAAGACATGTTCATCACACTGTTGGAGTTATGGTTTGGGGTGCTATAGCTTATGGTTCCAGGTCACCTTTAATCTTCATCAGAGGTAACATGAACGCGCAGCGTTATATCCACGAAGTTCTAGAACCCCATCTTTTACCCTATCTTGACACCCTGGCAGATCCAACTTTCTAACAAGATAATACCCGACCACATGTTGCAAGAGTCACAATAGACTTCTTTCAACATAATGATGTCATATTGTTACCATGGCCACCAAGATCTCCCGACTTATCCCCAATTGAGCACGTGTGGGATATGATGGGTAGGAGATTGCTCAATTTTCAACGTCTTCCTCAGAATCTAGAAGCACTTCGAGAGGAGTTGGTGGTTGCCTGGAATGAGATACCACAGGAGGACATTGACCACCCGATCAGAAGCATGCCTAGGCGCGTTGGAGAATGCGTAGCACATCAGGGTGCATCCACACATTATTAAAGGTCAAAGGGCTTTAAAGCAGTGCAATCAGTTTGAAATTTATTTTTATCATTTACTTATTATCCTTCATTAAATACTTATACAAAATTTTATTAAAATAAAACCATTTAAACTGGGTGTTTGGATTTATATGTCATATATTATTATATATTACTTATATTTCGATGGCATTTCGATACTAGACCAGGCTTTTGAAATCATATTCAGAGGCCTCAAAATAATTTGTTGTTTAATATTTAATTTGACCCCTCTCAAAGTCACCTAGCTGCGACACGAGATTTAACATTTAACTGACACCGTAAGTGTACGAAAACTGAATGCTTCTCTATCATCCACACATTTATTAGAAGTAAGCAGCAATACGCTTCATTAATTTGGTCTCGAGTCTACAACAATTTAAGGGTTAGTATTGAATATGTGCAGCGTAAGGCTTTAAAGTCTTTGTATTACGAATGTTACTGCAATTATCCTGAAAGAGGCTTTGACCATTCTATGTTATTAAACATCTTTGATATAGAGTCATTATTGCATCTTAGACGCGGTACATCAGCGCTACATCTTTTGTACAAAATCATACACAATCAAGTTGATTGTTCATTCATATTAAGTAATATTCGTGTTCCTAGGTTGGGAAATCGTGTTCAAATCACTTTCTATCCGGTTATTGGTAATACTATTGTAATGTCTAGATCTTCGGTAAATATGATGTGTACATGTTTCAGTTCTGTCAGCAGTTCCTGTGACTTATTTTTTGATAGTGAGAACTTTGGTATTAAGTTGTCAGTGAGAATTAGTTTTTTTTTGTCTTCAGCGTTACCGCTGTTGCTACAGTATATTCAGATAAGAGATAGACCGGATGTAAACAAAAGGTTCGGGTGATTTTCACGCTAACGCCGCCGTCTCGACGTAAAACAGGAGCCCTCATTGGTCAAATCGCAATTAAATGCCTATGCCGAGCGGCAGAGCAGTCGTATCAAGGCAGAGTCACATTCAGGTTCAGACGTGTTACGTATGTCGTGTGCATCATTGCAATTTGATATTTCTTTGGACGTTTTCGTTTGTTATCTTATTAAGTTGTTGAGTTTGTCGTTCTTATTGTTATACCTTGTTATTGATTGTTATTGTTATCAACTGCTTGCGCAAAATGCCCAGTAGTACAGATACTGCCGATGAAGTTGTAAACTCCTGTAGTCCACCTAGAAAACGCTCTAAAAGAAGACACCTGAGTGCAGAAATGAAAGAGGTCATTTTGAATATATATAAGATCACACCTTTTCTGAGCCAATGACCAGTAAACATCGCAAAAGTATTGTTAAATCATTGGATGAAGCTGATAAGCATGCGATTAGGAGGAAAGTGCATGAATTCTTCTTTTGGAATGAAATACCTACTATAGATAAAGTACTGCAGGAGGTAAATGGAGATACAACGTTGCCAAATTTCAAACGATCAACTTTCCATGCGTTACTGAAGCATTTAAATTTCAAATGGAAAAAACGGGGTCGTAATAGTTTACTACTGGATAGAGAAGAAATTGTGCTATGGAGGAGGGATTATTTAACAAAAATTGGGAAATATAGAAATCAAAACAGGAAGATTTATTACATTGATGAAACGTGGGTAAACGCAGGACACACTACAAGTAAAGTATGGGTTGATGATTCTGTAACTTCATCCAGGAGGGTCTTTCTAGATGGACTGTCCACCGGATTAAAAAATCCAGCAGGTAAATACGAGTAATAGACAACAATCGGATGTTTTTCAAACCTTGGGAACAAGGTTCTAACATTAATTCCAGGGGGCAGATAAAACATATTACAAGTAACAAAACTTTTATAACTTTCGATAAAATGCGTGGATGTTTTATTGTCATTTTCATTTGTTAGAACTTTTTTAAGCCATGTTTTTATGTGTTTTCGATATTTCAATAATTTTTTAATATAATCTTAAAATATGTCGAATATTATAAACTTAAAAAAAGTTACTAAGTTTTATATTGTGTACCGTTCCTAATATTTCTAATCATTTGAATTCATACTTTAAGCTTTATAAAGTTATAATTTGTTAATATTAATATTTGCGCGTATTTCAGGTTCCTGATCATTCATTTTTTAAAGGTTTATAACTTTAAATTAAATTGTGAAGCGCTGAGTAATCATACGACGTTCAATATTCTTTCTTTCAATATGACTAAATAATCCCAATTATAGCAATCTGATACTCATGTCTCAATGTTTTTTCGCTGAATGTGATGAAAACGTTTGAAAAAGGTTCGCTTATTGAAATAAATCTACACCAGTTAGTACTTCGATTTCCAGGTAAAGGGAAAAGGCTCATTATCTGCCATATTGGCAGTGAGGATGGATTTGTTGTTGACGGTCTGTGGTGCTTTGAGTCTAAGAAAACTGGATATTACCACGAGGAAATGAATGGCGAATCGTTTGAACAGTGGTTTTCAAAAATGTTACCGAACTTAGAGGAAAACGCAGTAATTGTGTTGGATAATGCGCCTTATCATTCTCGAAGAATGGAGAAGGTCCCAACAACGGCTTCAAGGAAAGTTGATGTTCAAAATTGGCTCCGCTCGAAAAATATCAACTTTGAAGAAGCAATGCTGAAAGTGCAATTATTAAGAATTGTCAAGGATCACAAGGCGGAATATCAAAAATATACCATTGACGAAATGGCAGCAAGTCAAAATAAAACTGTGCTCCGTTTACCTCCATACCATTGCGAGCTCAATCCCATTGAGCTCATATGGGCAGAGATTAAAAATTATGCACAATACAACTTTTAAATTTTGTGAGCTCGAAGGACTTTTCAAAGAAGCACTAGAATTAATCACAGGGCAAAAATGGGAAAACTGTATTAAGCACGTGAAAGACAAAGTTGAAAAGAGAATGTGGGAACTGGACAATATTTTAGAGGAACAAGTCGAACCATTCATTATTGACGTTGGTGCTTCAGGCAGTAGCGATGATGAAAGCTCATCAAGCTCATCTTTCCAATAAAAGATGTCGTTCATCAAATTCGGTAAGTTATAAGTAATTATAAAGCTACTGCATTTTTTTAATCAATTATTGACATTTTTGAACCCATTTTGGCAAAACCTATTCAAGAATCTACTTTCTGACAATGTTCAACCATGCACATTTTTTTACGTTTTGAACGTTTTAATTTGGTTACATATTTACCTAGAAATCAAAAAATATACTAATCAATATTCTAAAAGCAATTTTAAGAGATATACGATTATTTTTAATTTAGGCTAATTTAAACGCCATTTTGAGATTATATTCGACTGTATTTCACCAAACATCAGGCGGCATCCGAAGCTGGAAATCGAAGCGAAAATTTTGAAACCCTTATGTATATTTACATCATTATATATTTCTTACCCCACCCCCACATGATCCTATATCCATCAACAATCGTATACACATCGAATTGTGCTAATTTACTACAAAGTTACGCAAAGCAGCATCTACTATCTAAAATATGTACTGCGTGACTCTTAATACGTCCCTGCCGAATGTTACAGCGTTCGATGATCACGTGGTCTTGTTTATGTCCGGTCTATCTCTTATC